CTGACACGTAATTCGGTAACATAAGTAGTTGGTCTACGAGTATCAAACTATCAATGCTCTTTGTCTCCTCGTCATCTACTCTTAGAGCTGTCCAAACCCACATCCATTTGGCCATTTATATCATCACGTTGGAGTTTTTTTTATCAGCTGAACTTTTATTATAAATTTGGTGAAATACAATTTATGGTAGAATACAAAATCGCAGAAAAAAAACAATTTCAAAACCATAGCCGAAAAAAAAAACTAAATATCTCCAAAAACGATAATTTGACTAAGGAAAAACTAAATTGACAGTATAATAAACCAAGCCTTATAATACCAATCTGAATCGTCATATTGGATTTTATTCTTTCACCATACCATAATACGATGATCAATTATAAAAACAATAAAAAATGTAACTAAAACAATATTACTTGTTATCTTTACTATTATTTTTCTAATTTCTTTTGAATACTATTTATTGTTTATTATTTTCTTTTTCGTTTAAATTTATTTTACTATTATATTACCAATCGAATATTTTATATATACATACACATATGTATTCCATTCATTATTATTGAAAAACCATTTCCATATTACTTGTTATTCTTTCTGTTTTAAATTAATCCTAACAAAACCGAGAAAACTGAACTAACCGAAAGAAAAGATAAACATGGAATATGCTCAAATATGAGTAAATGGGACGAAATTGATATCTTGCATTATTGATTTTAGAAAAAATTAGCAAATCTACCACAATCTCAAAACTTTCTTTTTCAATCTACCATAATTGCAAAAATCTTTCCACCAATACCACAACTTCAACGTAAAATGACAATTTTACCCTTCTCATTCACTTTCTTATTTTTCCCTTTTTTCTTTGATGGAGGATTGTCCTCTCTCTCTCCACGGACAAGATGAACTCTCTCTCCGTGGACAAAATGGACTATCTCTCTCTCATTGTGGATAATAATACATAGAGAAAAACGATGAAACGGAGGACAAAAACGAAGACATAGAATGAGACATTGGTGGATGGTGGACATAAGCGGTGGTTGTAGACGGAGAGGATGGCGAATATAGTAGATGGAGATAATGAAACGATAGATAACAAGAAGACAAGGATACCAAATATTGTCCTGCAGGTAGACAATGTTGTCCAGCAAGTACACAATGTTGTCCACCAAACCGAAATTGTTGTCCTACATAGTATTCTACATTTTTCTTGTCTCACCACACCAAGGGTATATCCGTAATTTTTTATTTATCAATCTATCATTGTGGTACTCAAAAATTGTGATAGATTGGAAAACATTTTTTCCAAAAAGTGATTTAATAATTTTCCCTTGATTTTATGGAATGGAGCCCCGTTTTTTTTTTTTTTAAACTCTCATCTTAAAAGGATAGAATCATGAACCAACCTACACTACTCAAACCTACCCCAAAAGATGGAATACGCACGCAGACCGGAATGGAAACCGTTTTTAGTAGCAAAGCCAACAAACCACAAGGTCCGTATGCACCAATCACGAGAACCAGCCGATTAGAAACGAAATTGTGAAACCGACAAAGAAGTCTTATATGCCATATTACTTTTTTGGGACAAAAATATACTAAAAGGAAAAGAAATAGTAAAACACAAAGTGTTTCTAGAAACTAAGCCATGTCCATTAGTATTGTATAAAATAATAATATAACTTTCGTGAAAATTGACGTGATGTTGATCTTAAACTTAGCTGAATATTTTAGGAGAACAAATATACTTCATTATTATATTTTACATGTACGAATTTTCTACGCTAAAAAGAGTATTAAAAAGAGTTTCAATCAAATCACTATTTACCGAAAAATCTCCCACCTGACTCGTTCGTATTAAATTCTTTTAAGAAGGAAATAATATTTTAAGTCATGTGACTAAAATTAAAATTCCAAACATATAC